GAAAAATCTGCAGTTAGAGCAGGAGCACATGTGCTTACTGGTGACAGTAGAATGCAGTAATAATTATGATAGATTTTATGGATGAAAAAATAGTAATGTGAGTCTGAAATATTTTCGTAAGGGGGTTTAATATATCATGAATTGTCAAGGTTCTTTAGTAGAACCTGTTTAGGGCATATTGAGTTTATATGTTTACTGATTTCAAAGCAAAAGGCTTTGATCAATAACAACTTGTAAATTTTCAGAGAATCTAGATTTTTTTTTTCCTATCTTGGGATTTGAGACCAAAAGAAATGCATGTAAATTCATGTCTGGGCAGTGGCTAGAGTTTTCTTAATGTAGAAAAAAATCCATATCTAAATCTTAACAGTATATTTGCATAAATTTAGACTTCTCATTAATTTTTATTTTAGTGCATAAAAGAGCTATATCCAGCTTGAAATTCTTCTTTGATACGTATATTCATACAAAGTGCTGATTCAGTAAAGCGTGAAATTTTGTGTCATAGTTTCACCTTACTTTGCTAGGAGATGGAGAAGCAGCTTCTTAATGATGAGAAATATGGGTCAGGGAAGTAGGACAGCAAGATTTTAGGTCTCTTACTGTGAGGGAACTGCATTTTGAAGTTTCTGTATTCTAAGAGGCTTATTTTTTTGAGTAAATCTAGAGAAATGGTTTATCTCCATTCCTCCCTTTGAATGATGACCACTTCATGAAGAAATGATGCAGTTAGAGTGCAAAAGGGAATGAAGTATAACAGTGAATTTCACAAGGGTAGGTTTTGTGGCATAGGAGGGATGCATTTTCCCTTGGGCTGCGTAAAATGTGAAATGGATTCTGCAGGCCAGAGCTCTTCCCTTATCCTCCATTCTCCCATGCCATCATGGTTTCGTACAGTGGGGAAGAAGAGTCATTTATTCAGATTACTCTGGCCCCAGTGATGTTGAATATGTTGAATGTGATACAGCTTCAGAACAATGGACCTCAGCTAAACTCTTCCTTGCTTTCTCTTGGGCTGGTTACTGGCTCTGAACAAGGTGATACCTGGCTGGGAACCCTGTCTGGCCAAGAGGGTCCAGAGTTTAACTGTTTCCCCAAGGCAAGTGATTTGACCATTGTAAAACTACAAGTAGGGGTTCAGTGATACAGTTGATTCTATTGATGCTGACCCATTCTGTGTTTAACAAAATTGTCCGAGTAATTTTTTTTTTGTACTGAGATAATTTGGAGCATAAATCCAAGGATTGTTTTGAGACCTAAACTGTGATTTGATGTGTCTAGTTTGAGGCAATTGGTAAAAACCTATTTTCAGATAAGAGGCAGATTTTAATTTTGAGGGCTTTATCTCAATATATATGGAACAGCTTACGTGTAATGCAGCCTTTGATTTCAGTCTGCAAATCACGTGCCTGAGAGGTGTTGCAGTGTTCAGCATCAGAAAGCCTAAGCTGCTTTGTGGTCATGCATTACCTGTGTTGGTTTCCCCCATTTTAAAATTAAATAATGGTGTCTTTTGTGAAATACTTTGGCATTTCATTATTTCAGGAAAAAAACAAACCAAAACAAAACAAATATCTTGGAGGTAGGAAAGTAAGTACAGCATTCATCTGTACTGAAGTTTAGGAATAGACGACTGCATTTCTTGAACCATCAAGTCTGTCAAGTTCCTTCCTGTGTCGTATGCTTGGCAAGAATGTTGCTGAACTACAACTTCTAATAGACATTGGCAGCCTAGGTTGATAAATGACCAATTTATACCCATTTGGTCTGTGCTGGTATTGTGTTTTAACATACATATTTTTCTCTCTCCTCCATTTTCCCCTCCCCAGTGACAAAATTTAGCTGTGTCATTCCAGCCTTTGTTGTGCTGAGGCAGCCAAGGTTTGCCTGTCAAATCTCTGTCTCTGATCACTTGGCATGATGAGAGACTCTCATCCCTGATCACTTGGCATCTTTCTCTGCACCCACTTAAATTCACTTTTCTTACCCATGTCCATGTAAAATGATAACTCCAGGGATCATGTTTTCTTTCCTTGTGCTAGTATTGGCAGTACCCCGATGGCCTTTAGGCTGAGAGGCTTGACTGCTTCAGGTGACAAGATTCCTACGTGAGTGACCTGGTGTTACTGCACTGTTTAATTCTGCCCTGTTTCTACTGCTTCATCTCTCAGTTCACCAAATTCATGTAGTCCTCTGACCTTGTGCAACCTCTTGTGAATTTATGGGAGCAAGTTTTGATGCTACATCTTGTGCCAAGGTCAGTAACAAAACATTTAAAAATGCCTACCACAGTCTAGTTTTTGGGGGAACTTCACTGACAGCAGTTTGACTTTCAGCGCTGCCCTGTGTCATCTTGATGTCTTTGATCTGCTCCTTATCCACATACAGTTTTTCTGTTCATCCCCATTGTAACTGTGACAGTGTCACTTATTTCTAATTTGGGCACTGGTTTAGCAAAAAATACCCAGCTTATGGTAATCAACTAACTCATTTCTTTTTTATCTGAAAACCCACAAGTTTGACATTTGAATAAATCAGGAAGTGACTCCTAGTCTGAGGCAGGATGCTGTCTCTTAGTGGTGATGCCCTACTTTCATGTTACGAGAATAAAGGAAGCTTAGGCACTTAGATCAGGAAGGGGAAAAGCCAAACCAAATCTCCCCTTCAGGATCCTTACTCATTTAGCATAAATACACATAAGCTTACTTTGCATATAAAATACCAGAGATATGCAATTGCTGTCTTTCTGCTGTAGCTCCTCCCTTCATCCACCTTCTCCATTTTCTTCTTTTTTGTGTATACATCCTGTTAATGTGGCAAATTGTTTTAAATTTCAAATCAGCAAGTGAGGATTCCTGAATGTGAACAGGGAATGGAAAAAATTGATATTTTTTTTACATTACCTGTCCTTCTCCATCTAGAAACAAAATGGTTTTGATTCTGTAAATGAAATGTAAATGAATAAATGTGTTATTTACTTCAGTAAAAAACCAGCACATTCTATCAATATTACAATACAGTACTGATTTGTGACAACTAACTTAGAAAAGTTTCCATACATTCAGAAGTGACATCTGTCTGCGTTTCCTTGGGCTTGTACAGAATTGTCTGGGCAGTGAGTTGTGAAATGGGAACTACAGCTATTAGTTTTCTTAATAATAATGGAAACTCTTACTTATTAAATAAAAGCATACATGAAATGTAACAGAAGCAGTCTGCCCTTAAGGATTTTTTGCAGTTTGTTTGTATGTAGTAAGTAGTTTTGGTGGTTTTGTTTGTTGTTTTTTTTTTTCCACAACTCTCCCTGACAGGCTTCCACCTTTAGGTGAAACAACCTTATGCTAAAATCCCAGAATTCAACAACAAGAGTACTTGTTTCAGATTGCCTTTATCTGTTTAAATGTGAGATCTCCACTAAAGCTTGACCAAATTTTGAAAAATAAATTTGTTACAGATTTTTTTTCATTCTTGGAAATCACAAGTCCATGAGTGGCTTTGATGGTGACAGGTGCTTAGGGCATGAAGACTTGCGTCTTGGGCAGCAAAAAAACTAGTGATCTCAAATGTAGCTTTTGTTATTGTTCTGTCTTCAGTGGTATACATTCTTCTTTACATTTCAGGGAGTTTAAATTTAGAAAGATTAAACACAATTTTCAAACTTTGTATTGAGGAACTAGAATCTTTTTACCTGCTTTTTAGCAGGCTGGGTAATTCAATTGAGTTTGGTCTGGAAGAGCAAAGCAGATTGTGTAGGAACTTACACAGGCAACAAGGTCAAAGGCTTGGTGAGAGGCTACGCAGAAAATGCTAAATAAGGGCTTTTAATTGTTTTATCTTTTCCATAATACTGCAGTAATGATGAAAAGGAGTGTTTCCCCATAATTTTCTAATTTTTTTTTCCCCCTGAGTTAGAGGCCACTTACTTAGGAAATTACTGCAATGACATTGGAAGTGTCCTAGGCTTCCTTTTATTCTCTTGAATGGTTGATAAATAAGAAATTGATATTATTAACTGTAAAGAGTTTCAAACATTATTAACCATGTTTTAGTTAACTTACGTGTTTAGATGAACAACTCTGATGGCTTGTGGTTTGGGAAATGCGAAACAATTTGAAGTTTATAGTTTAAATAGGAGTATCTGTTTCTTTTTCCTTTGTAATGTTTGAGTAATAGTGATGGTGCTTTGCAACTGTATTACAATAATATCCAAAATAGTATGGAGTATGTATGTATATCTATATATGTATATATATGTGTGTGCATGTATATTTTATTATATATATTTATATATTTTATATATATAAAATTGATATCAAGAATAACCTTTTATCTTTAAATTTTACTGTGCAATGTGACTACTTCTTGTGTAGAAATTTTGTTCTAATCTTGTGCCTTTGAGGATATTTTTACAAAATATCTATGTATTTGCTATGTTTGATATTGTGGGGGTTTTTTCTGTTAAAATTGCCTAATATTTATTGCTTACCTTTCATACAGCATCCTCTTCAGTTCTGTGTGCTATTCCTAGGAATCTTGAACATCTGTGACTACCATTCACTTCATAAAATGAGTAGGCAGTCAGCGTCTTTTAGTTACATTTGATGGTGCTTGTTGTCTATCCAGAAGTTACTATATATGATCTGTTTTCTGCAGGTTCTCTAAGTTCATACTGAAGTGCAAGTACTAAGGATGCTTTTGCATGATGCAGTGGTTTTCTTTCATGTATTCTGGCTTCCCCTAATAACCCATGCAATTGATAATGAACTTCATGCATTTGCTTAATCATGTGTATCAAATGGAAGCTCACTGAAAAGAGTCTTGAACTGGCATTAGTTCTAGGCCTTAGTAGTTTGATTTAATGGATCTAAATTAAGTATTTAGAAAATTGTGTAGTAAAGGGGAGAGAGATACAATTTTATGGTTAGATACATTTGAGCAGTGTTGGGTTTGGGTTTTTTCCTAAAATGTTTAAATTTTACATTTTCTCTTACTTTCTTAAGGGCTGAGGGCAGCCCAGGATGGCCGAAGCTTCCTATGATCAATTATTAAAGCAAGTTGAGGCATTAAAGATGGAGAACTCCAACCTTCGGCAGGAGCTAGAGGATAACTCAAATCACCTGACAAAACTGGAAACCGAGGCGTCCAATATGAAGGTATGACCAGCTCTGTGCCTGAGATGCATCGGGGTTTCTATTGCTGCCTTTTGTGTCACAGACTGCGAGTTGCTCAACGACTTTTGTGTACTTTTGGATTCCTATAGAAGTTCCTTTTCCAGGCTGTTAAGGGAAAACTATCGAATCTACTTTATTATTATTAATAATAGTAGTAGTAGTAATAATTTCAAAACCATTTTGTAGAAAACAGTTTCCAGATTTCATAGCTGCTTTTCATGCGTACTGTGATAAGCACAACCATTTTATCACAGTTGAACTTCCTGGCAGGAAGTCCAGAGCACTGACATAGATTGACAAAGCAAGTATTGTTCAGCCCTTGAAAACAAGGGAAAGACTGGAGGTTTTCTCTGTTTTCGGCTAAGTCTGGAGGATGATATTTACCATCTCAAAAGGAAAAGTTTCTTATTTTGATAAAACCACAAGTCCTCCAGCCTCTCCCAAAGCCTAAACTAATACTTCATCATTTCACCCACTTCCATCCCTCTGGTGTTTATTGCCAAGTTGTGGGCCTTCAGAGCCACCTATCCGAGAGCAAACACTAGGCTCAACTGGAATTCAGATGGATTTTAACCCACAGGAAGATACATAAAAAGCTGCATCCTTGTGATCCATGACACTAAACAAGGCAGAATTTCACAAGCATTATAGCTGCATTAATATAGTGTTCTTTTTAAGCTCACAAATCCTACTGCTTTTTGCCAACAGCCAGCAAAATCAGTACCTCAGTTAAAAGGTCTTGGAAATTGTTGGTATTTCTTTATATGCTCCTGTATAGGGTAGGCTTAGTCTAAATATTAAACAGTATTTTTTTTCTCAGTCTCCTTGCTTTCTGGTCTTCATACCATAGACTCTCTGTTCCTTTACAACTAATCTTTATTTTTTTAAATATAAAAAAAGTAACTTGATTAATACAGGTAACTTGATTAATATAGCAATTAAAAATACTTGAAATGACCTTTCTTCTCCTCCAGGTTGTGGCTCATATATTCACTGTAAGAGGAAAAATTTACCTGTGTTCTGAAACACTGTCACTGGTTACAACACTTGAAAAAAAGCACAAATTTTTCAGATATACTTAATCCTTGGCATTGCAGTGTAAAATGAAAATAACCTTGCTACTCAAATTGAAAGGAAATGGTAGTCCTTTACACCAGCTACTTGAAACAATTGTTGGCATTAGCAGATGTGAAAAAAATGTTTGTTTGCTGAGTTACGTATCTGAAAACTAGTCCTGTCATTTATACTGCCTTTCTCAACCAGTTTGTCAGTTACTCCCTTTCCCTGCCTGTCACTGCAGTCTAAAATAAGGGAGGGAAGAACATGGCAGAGGATATTCCTGATAGTTTTGAAAAAGAGGAGTGAAAATGTCTCTTTTCCCTCCTTTGTCCACATACAGGTGCTTTGGCTTTTTGTTGTTTGTTTGGGGTTTTTTAAGTTTTTGTGCAGGTAATTAAATTTCCACTGATCTAGAGACAGTCCAGCTGTACAAGCTGATCTCCAGGGCATTAATTTGGGATGTGGAACAGCTTTATGTTCTTACTTTATGTCTGTCAGATCACCAAACAGAAAGTGGCTCTATTACTCTCCACAGAGGAGTGCTTATGAGCATATTCAAAGTAGAGGTTGCGTTTTTTTCTGTCTCAAGGTTCCTTTCTAGATCTAAGGAATTTACCCCAAAAAAGCTCCCGACTCAAATATCAAACTCAGTATGTTCCTTTCACTTTGGGGGATGGGTGGAGAGAGGACTGTTCAGATTAATTTGATTTTTTTTGATTCTTTCTTAAATCTGTGTTCTATTGAGAAATCCTTGTTATATTAAAAAATCTTAACTGCGTTCTTCAGGAATTTTTGCTCCTGCACCTGAAGAAAGAAGTTGTTTCCTTCTCGTTTGTTTCAGATGAGTTTGGAAGGGTCACAACATAGCTTTGACTTGAACCTGAAGGATAGTGTCGGAATGATCTTGAGGTCTGATTGGAATCTGTGGGTGTAGTTTGATGGGGATCATTGCAGGATTTTCTTAAGTCAGGAGATAATTTTAGTTTTGCAAGCTTTTGGAGAAAGTATGTGGTGGCTTTGTATTACTGAAAGAAACTGCATGGTCTGTGTGGCTCCAGTGCCATAATTAGGGCTAATTAAAACAAAGTCATTAGAAGAGCCAGAGCCCTCAAGATTGAAAGCCCTTTGGCTACCATATATGCAGTTAAGATCTTTCAGAAAAAATGATCCTTTGGGAGCATGTTAGTGTCACAGAGCCCTTGCAACCCCTCCCACAAAGTTAAAGGCCATATATTAGTGGGAGAAGGGGAGCAAGAATGGGGAAAACAAGTTATGGTTCTATGACAAACATCACTGTTTTTGCAGCATGACTTTTCATCTGCAAACCAGTACAGGGACACCTCACAGTAACTCCTTGGGCTGCTGCTTTGTTTGTCTCCTCATTTCCTTGTATTATTTAATCAGGTGTGAAAGGCAATAGTTAAGAAGGGCATTTTAAAGACAATATTGTATATTTAAAGAATTTGATTTTGGAAGTAGTAGTGTTAAAATGTTGTGTAAGTGTGCCCCATCTTTACAATCCCTTCGTTTCAGAATTGTGGGGTAATCATACGGGTATTAAAAGCTTAACATGAGCTCATCTTGCACATGTATTTATTATAAACTACTACTGACCTATATAAGAACAATGTCTGAATGCTTCATGTTTAAAGCTAAATCTCTTGTTTAAAAATAAAAACTCCATTTGCTAACCAGAAAACAACAGGATGGGTAAACAAAGAGAAATGTGATAATGGGGGGATGCCAAAATGATTAGTAAAACAATCTCCACTTTGTTTTTTAATTTGTGTTGTCCTAGGGATTAACTGTTCAAACAAAAGAAATCCCTCAGAGTATTATGGCTAACTTGGGAAATTCAGTTGTTATTATTGGCTTATTGTCAGATGAAATACAGCAGTTTGGTATGATAAAATGTTCTCTCTAAATCAACAAATATGCTGTTTCATGGTTGATGAAATAACAGTGTTGGCCAATAAGCAAAGAAGAATGGTGTCAGAGTCTAGATGTAAGAGTTACTGCATAAACACAGACTATGGACAAATTTAGAAAATTACATAAAATTAATGAAGAGACAAAAAGCAGTCCAGTGCCAGCTATACTACTCTTTGCATGTGTTTATGTCTCCCACATTTGTAGGAGATTTCTGTGAGACTTTCCTGCTTGATTCTTGTCAAAGACAAGTATTTTTCTCTGAAGGATGGTACATACATATTTTTCTAATGTCATAACTACTGGATATCAACATTTTTCCCTGTATAAAATCTGGAGGGATACAGGTATATTTAACTTCTAGAACTCAAGAAGTAGTAAAGGAGCAACATCATGCTTGATTTTCACACTCACTGAGTGCTTGGATTTTACAGTAAATGATAAATGCATGATGTCTTGTGTAAGAAAGCCATTTGTAGTATATCTGATGCTCTGAGCAAAACATCTCTTACTTTCATGTAGTATACTTAAAATTTTATTCTATGTATGGTTTTTCAGTTTATTTAATTCTTCATTTCATTCTTCTGAATGTCTACTGAGGAATTCTGTCTTTGGGAATGAGTAACTGCTTTTATCAGATGTCTCCTCCATTAGGTAAGCAGGTGACCACATTTTCTTTTAAATTGCCAAACCCCATTTTATGGTCATACTATTAGGCTTAGCCACCATTTCTTGGTATTTAACCTTAAAAACCCACTTTGTTCTGATCAGCTGCCTCTGATCATCAGTGTTTATTGACCCTCACTGTACAGCACAGAAGGTGCTGGGAGATATTTTTGTAACTGTCACAAGAGTTTTTATTTCAGTCTATTGCAGTAAGCCATGTGTTTGCAGATTAGAATTTGAAGCCCAACATATTCACAGAGACCTCTGATATATACAGCCTAACATTTTGTTGGGTGCTATTTATTCTCCCAAATAGTAAGCCACGGGGTAAGTGGAAATGGCTTCAAGTTGCTGCAGCAGAGGTTTATTTTGGATATTAGGGAAAAGTTCTTCACCAAAGGAGTTGTCAAGCCCAGGAGCAGGCTGCTCAGAGCAGTGATGTAATCACCGTCCCTGGAGGTATTTGAAGATATGTAGATGTGGCACTTGCGTTACTGGTGGACCTGGCAGTACTGGGTTAACAGCTGACCTTAAAGATTTTTCCCAGCTAAATGATTCAGTGATTCTGCAGTCACGTTGTGATGTCATTATTGTGCTGCTGTGAGGTTGTGGATACATTACCTCTATTACTGCATCCTCCTGGCATTTGTTTGTTTCACGTCATTCTGCGCATACCTGGCTTACGGCTTTGTGGAGAAAAATACTGTTTACCTGGATACAGGCTGTAGTGAAAAAAACTTCTTTTTTTGCTTCCTACTTGCAAAAATTGAACATAATTTTTTCCTCCTTAATTAGCCAGTGTGTCACCAAGTGATGACAAACCCAGCGTGCTCTTCCTTTGCTCATTGCAATGCAAGTAGTGCAACTCAGAAAGTGGTGCCTGTGTTGGATCTGCCCTTCTCCTGGCATTGTTTCCAGGCAGCTTCCAGCCAACTAATGAGTCAACTTCATTGTCTGACTGATTTTTTTAGTGTTCTGGCTGATGAATCCAAAGTTAAGGGGTTTGGGGTTTTTTTAACACTTTTGTACTCCTGGCTCTTAGGAGTTGTTTTTGAGGTACTGTGGGCTCTGCTGACTTGTTTTTTTCTCTAAACTTCCAGCGTTTTTAAAGCATACACGGATACATACACTGTCTGATACACAGTAGATGCTTTGTCTTGATTTCTCTGATACTTCACTGAATTTTGTTAGTCCCAGCTTTTGGGTAGCATTTAGCAGGAACGTAAATTACAGACAACAATAAGGGGAAATGTAGAAATATCTGGAAGAGCAGCTCAAGATCCTCAAATGAGGAGTTTGTGTAGTAAATTTCTTGCTTTTGAGAAGGA